CTGAAAAATCAAATACTATTCAAAGGCAGCTTTGTGCAACCTAATTCGACTGTTTTCTTTTAGTGCTGGACACTACTTCAGCTTTTGTTCTGAAAGAAAGGAACCAGAGTGTCTTAATTAAGACAACTCAAAATTACAAAGAAAAAAAAGATTAACCCATATTAACAAAATTATTAGGACCGAATGAAACTGCTCTTGTTTGGGGAAAAAAAAAAATCAGCAATTGGCTCTCTGAAAGACAGCGTGAAAAAACCCAAAACACGCCAAGGAAGAATTCTTAAGGGAACATCACAAGCAATGCATACAGCATCTTGCAATGGCACATTAAGCAGCCTAATGCCAAGTCTGCCACCTTCTGGACTTGGAACATCGCATCTCCAGAAATCTTCAGCAAAACATAATTATAATTAATTGTCAGGGAGAGGGGAGTCAAGGACCTTTTTCTTCAGAGAAAAAATTACAACTAGCAATGTTGATTCTGCCATATAGAAAGTCTGTAAACAAAGGCAACAGAGAGAATTAATTGCTTCTCCTGTTTACAGTATTATCTTACAGAGCTGCTGCACGTAACTATTGGCATGGTTTCAATATAACCCCTTCAGTAACCTGAAGTAGGTCACTATGAATACTGGAACACAAACCAAAGTGATTACATAGCTATTTCAGAGGGCAACAGCGCTACACATCAACTTACACTGACAAGTCAAATCTTTTGCATCGGTCAGTTCTGAACAATGTCAGCGTCATGCTTAGGTGCATTGCTGTATTTGGCAAAATAAATATCAAAGGTGCTGATACTACTACTCTGTTTTAAGCCAGTTTAAAAAATTGGGTGCTCTATACTTAAGATTTATAGAGACATGCAAGATTTTGAAGCATACCACTTGTAAAGCACTTCATTTGGGAAAATGAACTTCCTTGAGCTTTTTCCTAAGCCTCTGAATTTCAAGAGGCCCTGATGTCCATATGCAAGTCAGAGCTTGCTTCATTTCACTTTTGCAGAGAAAAGCAAGCATGCTACACCAGATTCTGCACTCACCTGCACTTCTGCAACTCCCATTACATGGAATGGCTGTTCATAAACTACAGTTACATTTCACTGCAGAGATCTCGGATGTTTGTGAAACCAGAGCCATGCGGTGTTCCCAAACATTAGTTCAGACTGTTGGCTTTCTTCATGGTTTGTGCTTACGCTATCTTCTCCATACAATCTGACTGGATCAGAGAAGTAATTAGTTTATGGAAGCTGTAGTAGGACAGGATGGAAGTTTCATGTCAACGCTTCCTTGAAGGGGAAAGCAAAAGTATGCTTTTGAAATTAAACTGGCTCTATCCTATGAACATATTATTTATTTTTTAATTAAGACGACCAATACAAGTTTGGTATTAAATATTCAATTCAGATATTCCACGCAGCTCTACATACAGACCCAGGCAACCAGAATCTGGTTTAGGTCATCAATAACAACCTGATAATCTACAGCCTCTTCTTCGTATATATTTAAACTACAAAGACTCTAAAAGCAAAGGTTCTTACCTGAGAAGTTCACTCCCTAACAGAATCTTTCCACACCTCAAAAGCCAGAGGGGTTAACACCACCATCCCGAAGTGCACAGGCAGTGAAAGATTCATCTTGTAAGAATCGCTGAGAGCTTCCAGCAAGATGTTTTCCACACCAAAACCTTACTATACATTTTTTTTGCTGTTAAATTTGGAGACATTTTGCTTTACAAAAAAACTAATTACAGGTGAAAAACAGCAAAGTAAACATAAGAGTTACAAGGGCATTCTTCCATTTGGATCCACTGTTACTGTCTTTCTGAAGAAAGTCACTTCCAACTTCAGCATGTCTGAAGATGAAGTCTCCACTTAGTTTCCTCCCAAATTAACATAATAGATAATTCTCTTCATATATTGAAAAAATATTTTCTAAATCCCATCTTAAAGGACTAAAATAAATTCTTTACATTAATGACCTCATTAAAACAAAGCATTATGGCAGTTCTAAAATGGTAACTGTTTTATGGCCTCATAAGGATTCACTTCTGTATGTATTTTAGAAACCAAAAACTTAGTTGACTTATATTTCAGGGGCAGGGTGACTCAAGAACATTAACAACAAGAACGTCAGGCTATGCAGGGGAATATATAGGCATCGAGTTAAAGTAACAATGAAGTAAAAAAGTAGAATCCTAATTAAATCCGTCTATTCTTTTTATGCTTACTAGGAATAACCTGTTACACCTGCTGAGGGCAGAAAACTTGCCTCTTCTCTGCCAATAGCAAAGCCATTTGCATCACTGAAGCAAAATACTCCGTAACGTAACCTGGATTTTAATCCTGCAAATTTAGGACCAGTGCTCTGCTTGGATATGGTATTCCACAAAATATATCAGAAGGTACGCATCTTAACCTAGGAAAATATACAACCGTTTCCCCATTCTCATGAAATACATGACTTTACATCAGTATCAGTTTTGCTGCTGTAACTAAAGGGTGTTTAGTGAATGAGCTATCACAAGCACACCTCTCTGCAAATGCAGCTATACCGACTTCGCTTTGCTTACACACAGTGCATGCTCTAAACTCCTGGGGGGGAGCTGCATTACCAAAGGCTGGTACAAGAACTCCCAAGAAGGAAGTTGTCTTTAGGGTACGCAGTTGTCATTGAGGTTCAAGCCAACTTATTTCTCCTGTTCACAGAACTCACTAATATTCTGCTCCCACAGAAACAGCTCTAGAAAGGGGATCTTAAAAACAACAAAAAAGCACAGCATAAAGCAGTCTGGATTCGTATTTATTGAAGCCAGTAATTAAAGACGTCCTCATTTTGCCAGCACTAGAAAGCAAGATTCCACATGACTGCATAGTGCACCTGGTTAAAGCCATACAACTGGACTAAAGTTTGTTTCATACATTTGCAGTCCTAATTGTAAGTTGGAAAAAAACCCCAATAAACTTAGTACACAGGACAGTGAACTTTCATTTACAGCATGTATATTGTTAAGTTCATGATGTACAGAGCAGTCACTTTCAACGTAGTTAAATTAAATTAAATACGAAATTCTGTTCAGTTTAAACAGCTTTTTTAAAATGCCAATTAAAAAAAAAAGTGCAAACTTAAAATCAAGCAGCATAACCACAGCATTTTTATGGAGGGCCAATCTTCAAACTTTTCTATTTGCTTCAAGTTGAATGCTTTCATCTTTTGTTTTCTTAGTTTAAACATGAACAGTAGATGCAGTCACTATAATGCATATAAATATAGTCATATAATAGTTTAAACAGTCTACCATACTAGCGTATCTGCAAATAAAATGAAGTTTCACTTGAAAGTGTAAAGGCTGTTTGCAATTTGGCCTTTGGTTCCAATGCTTGAAGACACCAGAAAAACAACTGTGCAGCTCACCAAAGTCGACAGACTTTGGCAACCACAGGATGCTACATTACTTACAACTTTCTGTCAATGAACTAGGAGCATTCACTTGCAATTAGAACACCTGAAATCTGTTTCTGTTTTGTCAGAAGCATCTTTCTGCAAAGCTGGTAAGCTATCGTATGTTATTGGTTTTGATCACTTTTAGTATATTTAACAAGTTTATAGAAGTGGAAAGTACTTTAAGTTTTAGCCATACTGCTAGAGAAAGTACTTATCAGGTTAGATGACAAAAATGCCATTTCAGACTGAGGTTTTCAAACTGTATCCTATTACTATCACACACTTTTTCAATTTTCCTGTAGAGCTTTTGATGTTTTAGTTTTCAATCTCAATTCTCAGTATCAGGAGGACAGTGTGCAATTACTTCTGGTGTGGTAACTTGCAACTGGCACCCATTACACCAGGAAGTATACCCACATTACCTATCAGCCATCCACAGTCTTAGTCTTACTGTTATCAAGACAACTGTGTAACTTCAGGTCATACCGTTTATTAAAAAAAAAGTTAAAAAAAGAAAATATATAGTATTTTCAACAAAAAACTGGCACAAATAACATACTCATGTTAATGTTTATCAAAGAGGCAAGTAAATACTCTTAGCTTTCTAGATAATGTTTAGACAGACTTATAAGAACAGCCTCTTGATGTAACATAGGAGTTGAAGTTAACATCCAGTACTGTGTTAGTGGTCAATCTAATTCTGTATATTTAAGTAACAATATATATTAGGGAAGTTATATCCAGACATCAGATTTAGTACAACAAGTTCATATCATTAAAAAGTAAACTCTGCATAATTCAAATTGTGGTTTTTTCCCTTCAGCATTAAAAGCACAGAATATGCTTGGTATTTTTAATTTATGGTAGTGTGTACAGGTAAAACAAGCATACCGTATATAAAATCAAAGTGCCATTTCAGTAACCTTAGCAGTTCTGTTTGTTTTTACAGAATGATGGTTTTATGTGACCATGGACAGAGCTCCGTTAGAATAACGGGGACAACCGCAACCCATCTTTCCAAATGAAATGCTACATTAAAGAAAATACAAAACAAGTTACTATGTTCATCATGTACACATTCATATTTTTTAGGTTACCTTCAGAATTGGAGTTGGCTGCACCTGCAGCAGATGTGGTTGGACTAGGGCCTTGAAAGTTTTTTTTAAAAACCTCCATAGGTGTAAGGCAGGAATCAATTTTAGCTTGGTAGCTAATATTTAGTTACAAAAAAGTAAGAAAAAAAATACTGAGAGAGTTCTGTAGCACATTTCATTATGGGAAAATGATACATCACCCACCATTCTTCACAGGCTAGCCTCTTGGCATAAAAAAAGGCAGAAGCTATCAGAAAACAGGATTTAAAATTAAATACAAATTGCCGAACTACGGATTTTAAAATAAAACCAAACAGTGACTGTTTGTACTACAGTGCACAATAAGTTCAAGCACCTTCTAAAGACACATCACACACTGTGCCAGGCACTTGGATCTAAACAAGTTATAGTTTCTCCCTTTGTCAGCTACACCAGAAAGGGCATCCACACTCTTAGACCTTTTTAAAAACTAAAACAAGATTTATAACAAGAATAAATTCCCATGATGCTTAGTGTTTGGCCTGGAATTCTTCAATGTAAAGTAGTCTTTTTAAAACAGTGATTATTTACCCCATGTGAAACACAGGGTTTAACAACATTGCTCCTCTCCAGTCAATCCAACATTCTAGTTTCTTGCTGTCCCAAATCCGTTTCCCCTTTTAGGGCTCCATTCCCTACCTAGGCTTCTTTCACCTAATTAATGCTCTGGTACACCACCACCACCACCACCTTTCCAAGAATATAATGCATTAGCAAACATACAAGTAGCCAATTCCAGCAACTCTGAAAGAGGATTTCATTTCTCTTTCTTGCCTTGTGTGCAGTCAGTAGTAGTATTTTAATAAGAATTCTCCGTTTTGCTTCTCTGTGTTCTTCACAACAGGAAATGCAGCTGCACTTGCTTACCTCCAAAACCAAAAGAATTGCCCTATATAAACTCTAAATGGTTATCTTATACAGAGGGATTTTATATGCAAACTTCCTGAATGTGCACTTTTTACTGGGACAAGGCAATGATGTAGTAAGCTCATTTCCCCTGCCCCAAGAAAACTGATAGCATCTGCCATAGCAGAAAATTCCTGGTCTTATCAGATCAATATACATAGTTATTTGGTCATTTACATATGCATCTTTTATGCGCTATCAAGCTTCGTTCTCTGTTGGAGGAGAGTTTGTTGTTACCACAGAGTCTGGCTTGCGAGTCATCCTATCCAGTTCCTCTTGAACATTTGTCAAAACTGTTTTCTGTCCTATGAAGAAAAAGGACAAGGTTAAACCAATCTAACTTCAACAGAATGTGTTAACTGATATTACAGTATTCATAAAATCACTTTTAAATGACAACGGATTATTTTATTTCTCATTATTTCACTGTCTACCCAAGAAGAGAGGGCCTGACACAATGCAAAGTGTCATTTATGTAAAGACCGATAAATATTTGATTCATTTTAAGAGATGAAATGCTGAACTACACAGCAGCATAAAGCACAAAAATTATCTATGTTATATTTTACAGCAATTAACATTTTAAAAACAACTTCATTTAGAATCTTCTATAAGAATCAACTCGACACAATTCTGTTGTTAGTACTGATAGCAAGGACTTCAACCAGATTTTAACCACAAGTTTTCCAAGGTACATAGGACACCTGCTACCAAAATCCCATTTGGTTGGTCACACTTATGCTTACTGCATTTTAATATTAAACAACTAACAGGAAGAACTCTTTTATGTCTGCAGATAATGTTTCCCTTAAAAAAGGGGACATGAATTCCATATTCATGTAATATCTCAGAGCAGTCATTTCAAAGGACTTCTTCAATTGGAAACAGACACACTGAAGTACTTAATGGAAAGGCGTATCTTACATTTTTATATTAGACTCAAAACTTCTTAACAATTCTCCAACTGAACCATCGGTTTAATTCCCTCATTCTGAAAATTATAAACCCACAGACAAATTAATTGCTAAAATCGGAGCAATATATTCTAATGGTTAGAACATACAAGCATTAAAGATTAAAAAGCTGTATTTTTAGGCAAAAAGTAGATTATATAACCATGTACAGCTTCCTTACATAGCCAAAGAATTTAACAAGCATCTGTTTTCCAGCTCAAATGTGTGTGAAATATTAGGTGGATTTTTTCCAGGGTACATGCTGAAAATATTAAGAAGGCAAGATCTGACTGTTGGAGATTTAAGTGGTTTTTTCCAAAGTACAAAGACATAACCAAGTTAAAAGGTTACCTTTAGTCACTATAGAGGTTTTAGATTCAAACACCAGTCATAAGCAAGAGTACTCTCAATAGCATCTATTCAAAGCACGAGTATTTAAACAAAATTAAAAAATAAGTACGTTATCTGCAATCTAATTTACAATACAAAGCACTTAATATGTAGATTAGTGGTACCTTGGAGTTAAAAAAATCTAAATCCTAGAACAATAAAACCCACACAAAATTCTTTATTAAACAAAAAGTAGGTCTAAACAAAAACCATGGCTTTTTTAATGCTAGATGAACTGGATCCCTAAGCCTTCAAAATAATACCAAGCAGCTGTTTCCTGCAACCACCTCAAACTGGACAGTAAAAACATTGCCAAGCTGTTCAATGATACGTAGGTTTACCCAATCCCCTCTACCACCATCACAGGTAAGCACCCTTCAAAGGAGAAGAAATACAAGGAGCTGTTTTTAAGAAGATAAAAATTTCCCCTCTGTTATAAATTAAATTGATACTT